GACCAATATTGCTGATCATAGCTTCGATATCCAACATCCGTTCCTCACTTTATCAATAACAGCATTCCTCCGTCTGAGATATGTTGCGAGACTCAAAGCAAGAATTCTCTCTCTAGCTTCACCTATAACATCTTCTACTTAGTTACATAGTATAACAAAAGAGGATGAACGTAAGATAATAGTGTGTTATTAATGTTCGTAGCTATAGTCCGTCCGTATAGTCACAGTTCATACAAATTTCAATATTTAGTTTTTCAATCAAGTTTTCATAATTATTATTTATTGTTTAGACATAAATAATAATTATAAAAAAAAACTTAAAAAGTAATATGCTAAATGTGTTAAGACTCACATAATTACATACGATTAGACATTTATTCAAATATATAGCATTTTATTGATTGATTTAAAATTTGTAAATCACTACTTAATTACAATACATACTTGATCAATAATAATTAAAATAGTACATTGTCATTCTACCCAACTTAGACTCAGGATAAGAGACAAAATTATGGCTGTATTTAATGCATAAGAGGAACTTACTGCATTTAGTATTTCATTGGTAGCCGGCACTTAATAAGTTACCGAAAGGTGTAGATGAAAACATAATAAAACAAACTGAATGGTTTATTTGCATTTGAATAGTAATTGTATAATTAATATGAGCAAAAAGGTGTAAACTAATCTAATGTGGGTACAGCCATTTCTAAAAGTATGTTTTTTGTTTTTAGCGAATTTCCCATATAGGGAATAATTACCGTAGTACTCATGGTAAGACCTGGACCCGGGACCGATTTTTTTTTTGTTTTGAGGTCCCTAGAGGCCAAAAACACCATCCGTTCAAATTCATATATATATATATATATATATATATTTATATATATATTTATATATATATTTATATATATATATATATATGTGTCCGTTAGCGCGATAACTCGAGCAAAAATGATCCGATTTTAATGAAATTTGGTACAAACCTGTGAACCTACGTTTATTCGAACGAGTTCGCGAACCAGCATGATTGGACCATGGGAACGGGGGTTTATGGGGGCTTTTATGGGGTAAAAATGGGTTTTTCCCATTTTTGACCCAAAAAACATAAAATTTTGCAATTTCTTTCCAAACAATTTTGTAGAGCTTAAAAAAACAAATAATTTAGTATATTGAAGCGTTATAATGCGCCTAATGGTTACGGAGAAAATTCCAAAAAATTGTAAATTTAAAATTCTCATGTTATTTTTATGGAGAGTAAGTAAACTGTTGTAGTTTGCTTGTTTATTAACATGTTTTGCCCAAATTTGGAAAATGTTTTTATTTCTTACTAACTATTAACATTTTACATAAAAAAACACTTTCACCCTCCCTGTTGCAGCAAACCTAACTATGTGTTAAACTGATTCTATTTAAATAGGGAATAAATGTGATATTTTTAAGGAGATATTTTAGTGTAAATCCAATCAGGCAAATGGAAATTCGCTTAGTCTGCAGGTTTGCTGCGGCGGGTATGTTTTTTGTATGTTTTTGTATTCAAACCAATTCATCGGTATTTGTGGATTCTAGAGGCTTTAAATATAGTGAAGTGGACATAGGCTTACTACAAAGACTACGATCACCGTTTTAAATTTTTTTAAACCCAGTGGATAAAAAGCAGACAAAACACGATCAGCAAGGACAAATAAGAATAATCAGTGTTGATGTTTGGAAAAAGTTGGTGTTTTGAGACCAAAGCTGTAGTTTCATATGAATTATACACAGATCGGATGCAGCAGCAGTTGGTACAACACTGTTGAAGCCGTAACAGTTGAATGCAGGACCCTGCTCTGACATGTCTGTGGTTTGACCTGCTTTGTAGCAGGTTATATGTGTTAGCTCTAACTAGAGCGGAACGAGAACTTTATGTTCCATTGGTTTGTTATGAACATCTTTAAACAATATTTGGTTGGTACAAATAATGGAGTTTTTATACGGTATGTTTTATTGTATAGCAAAATATTTGATTGAATGGTCTCAAATACAATAGAATATATTTCTATATTAGTATTGAATTGTATTTTCATGATGCAATAGGTATACAATTATATAATAAAAATAGATATAGTAAAATGGAGATGTCCGTTGGAAATAAATAAATAAATAAATAAATAAATAAATAAATAAATAAATAAATAAATAAATAATCATGCTGAATTATATTATTCAGTCGTTGTTGTCGACGTGTGGTGTTCGCGGTATTGAGTATGTATAATGATGATTGTTTCCACAAATAATTTTATAATTGTTATTCTTAACTTAGTAAACATTGTCAAGGCATTTTTAGTAACGGAAATATCATATTTTTAAAATTTTTCTATTAAAGAATTGTGGTGAACCAAGTAATACTTTCTGTAAAATGTAATTTTATAGTTTAGAATACTGTTCTGTAGGCCCAAGTTTAAGTCCCAGTTACCAAAGGGATAGCTATGTGATATGTCATGCGTCGTGATTTTGACTACACTGTAAGTAGTGGGTTCCACTATCTGGAAAACAAAAAGTAACCAGGAGTACGTTTTTCTTGGATTGGAAAAAACCCTTATACAACAATTCCGTACTTTTTATTCGGAAAAATAGCCCTTTTGTAAGGAATATTTTTTCAAACGGTTAGTCTACTGTTGCAAAATAGTTTTAATTTATATTTAAAATTATGTACAGTAGTATTATATCATCAAGAGCTCAGTATATAAGGTGTTAACAAAGCTCATAATGTCCAAGTTAAAGATTTTAGTACTCACTGAGTGATTGTTTTCGATTAATTAATGATCACGGTATCACCCAAGGACGTGACATAGAGCAATTGAGTAAGCAAATTATGAATAGTAGACTAGATCTGGAAAGACAGACTCGGAGTACAAACAGGAACAATATCACAACGGTGTAATGTACATTAGTGGTAAAGTGATATTGGTAACGGATATTGTCGCACAAATATGAAACGTTGAGTCGCAGCTTTACATCGCATTACAGCTTCACGTTTCACATTCCTCCTCTGTGATGCGAAACCATATTTGTCACAATATCAATGAAAAGAACATTTCATTTGTGTCTATTTGATTTGGAAGTTTTTTAAGCTATAATATACATAATTTAAATTTACATTTCCTAAGACGAGTATTGGCTGTAATAACTCATATATTATTTGTATTCTTAAGTGTTTGAACGAAGTAATATGATACTAAATAAATATTTTCGTATGCTACGTTACAATTAATGTGCATGCCATATTTGGCTTTGATACGTGCCCATTTTATATCGATCTAAAACCAATCATATCGATTTAAAAATGTATGTTTGTACCAAGCTCGAGGGGCGTTTATAATTGTAAAAATGTTATTTTAATGCTACCCTGGAATACGCAATTCTAAGGGTAACTTAAGCTTTACATATTTGAAGAGAACACAAGTAACTCGGTAGCAGAATGGTGAAGTATGGATATAGCTGGAGCAGATGTGGCAGTTATATGTCACGTACTGAGCTGTGGTTATAGTCGGACTGACAAACAACCACGACTATTTATTTTTTGAAGCACAACTTAACATGAATGTTTCGTATTGGAGCTACGATCAGCTTGTAACTCCATGGTGCAGTATGGATACAGCTGTAGCAGATGTGGCAGTTATATGTCACGTACTGAGCTGTGGTTATAGTCGGTCTGACAAACAACCATGAGAGTTTATTGTTTGAAGCACAACTTAACATGCATGTATCGTATTGGTGCTACAGTCTACATTTAACTCCATTGTGAGTGCATCATAGAGAAGAAGTACATGTCATTTCAATGAGCCGTGGTTATTATTGTGGTTTAGTATCTGATAAAACCCATGACAGCGTTTTGTTTAGACAGATATGCAACATAAATATACGCGTACTAGAACATGCCGTGGTTTTGTTTTGGAACTCTACTAATCGATATGTATCTGATGTTTAGTTATATGACAGAATATCTATTTGTAGGTCAAAACAATAGGTACAAAATCTGTTTCATGTTTGATTTTATGATAAACAATAACGCTGTACATCACCAAGATACTAAATCCGTTAAGTTGTAATAATGATTTTTTAGACGAGTCTGAAGAAATACGTTTACTGTAAGAACGAGACGTGTTTCACGATTGACTCTGACGCGTTATACATTTTAAGTGTTTTGTAGTTGAAGCACGTACACACAGTGTTCAGGTCAACTCTGTCTGCTCGACATCTCCTTTTTTGTGCACTTTTCATTTCGAAAATGTACACTTCTCTATGTTAATGCTAAAATGTTTCAACACATTTAATTTTAGATCAAGTGTGGTGTTGCTTTTTTATGCGTGAAAAATTTAAAAACATGGATAATTTAAAAATTATCTGGGTAACATTTGTACTTAATTTATCTTAGCCTTTTATTGCTGTAGGCCTATCCTTATTATGGTTGAGATGCCCACTTTCGTTATCACTCATAACTTTGTATTTCAAAACGTTCTGGGGTGACTACCGATAGTGGCATGCATTGTTACATCTGTCAGTTGCAGAGGTTCACCACGACCATCCACAGCATTGCATTGTAAGTTGTCAGAGTTCACTGATGATATAATTATTCTAATTCCTTGTTACAGATGCTCTATTGACGTCAGTTGCACTTTTGCCAGTTATCCTGGGGTTCACTAAGGCCACGGCACCCACACCCTCGCCCTGTAAGCTATCAGAGATCCACTGATGATACAATTAGTTATTCTAATTCCTTGTTACAGATGCTCTATTGCGTCAGTTGCACTGTTGCCTGTTATCCTGGGGTTCACTACGGCCCCGGCACCCACATCCTCGCCCTGTAAGCTATCAGAGATCCACTGATGATACAATTAGTTATTCTAATTCCTTGTTACAGATGCTCTATTGACGTCAGTTGCTCTGTTGCCTGTTATCCTGGGGTTCACTACGGCCACGGCACCCACATCCTCGCCCTGTAAGCTATCAGAGATCCACTGATGATACAATTAGTTATTCTAATTCCTTGTTACAGATGCTCTATTGACGTCAGTTGCTCTGTTGCCTGTTATCCTGGGGTTCACTACGGCCCCGGCACCCACATCCTCGCCCTGTAAGCTATCAGAGATCCACTGATGATACAATTAGTTATTCTAATTCCTTGTTACAGATGCTCTATTGACGTCAGTTGCTCTGTTGCCTGTTATCCTGGGGTTCACTAAGGCCACGGCACCCACACCCTCGCCCTGTAAGCTATCAGAGATCCACTGATGATACAATTAGTTATTCTAATTCCTTGTTACAGATGCTCTATTGCGTCAGTTGCACTGTTGCCTGTTATCCTGGGGTTCACTAAGGCCACGGCACCCACATCCTCGCCCTGTAAGCTATCAGAGATCCACTGATGATACAATTAGTTATTCTAATTCCTTGTTACAGATGCTCTATTGCGTCAGTTGCACTGTTGCCTGTTATCCTGGGGTTCACTACGGCCCCGGCACCCACATCCTCGCCCTGCAAGCTATCAGAGATCCACTGATGATATAATTAATTATTCTAATTCCTTGTTACAGATGCTCTATTGACGTCAGTTGCTCTGTTGCCTGTTATCCTGGGGTTCACCACGACCCCGTCACCCACACCCTCACCCTGTAAGCTATCAGAGATCCACTGATGATATAATTAATTATTCTAATTCCTTGTTACAGATGCTCTATTGACGTCAGTTGCTCTGTTGCCTGTTATCCTGGGGTTCACCACGACCCCGGTACCCACACCCTCGCCCTGTAAGCTATCAGAGATCCACTGATGATATAATTAATTATTCTAATTCCTTGTTACAGATGCTCTATTGACGTCAGTTGCTCTGTTGCCTGTTATCCTGGGGTTCACCACGACCCCGGTACCCACACCCTCGCCCTGTAAGCTATCAGAGATCCACTGATGATATAATTAATTATTCTAATTCCTTGTTACAGATGCTCTATTGACGTCAGTTGCTCTGTTGCCTGTTATCCTGGGGTTCACCACGACCCCGTCACCCACACCCTCGCCCTGTAAGCTATCAGAGTTCCACTGTAACAACAACAAATGTGTTCCCGCGACTGCCTATTGCAACGCCGTAAACGACTGCGGGGACTCGTCGGACGAACCACGTCTCTGTAGCCGTAAGTACCAACCGAATTAGTAGCACGGTGTATGTAGTTAGTTTAGGATAAAACATATACCCTGAACAGTGATATCTCAAACATTACAACTTTACCACATGTACTTGTAATGTTAAAATACATTACACTTTAAGAACAATTTCATTCTTACAATTTAAAATCAGAATCGTGGTCTCCTAGCGACGACCGTGTCAAAAATGACGAAACTCTAACACTCACCTCCTGGAAGCCTATCCAGGAAGTTAAAATCAGTTAACAGTACAGTCGTTGATATAAAACTGATGATTCGCAATCGTTTGTTAACCTTTTTAACATTGTTTAAGATATTAACAAATAACGTGTTTTTCATAGATAATATTAATCTCATAGACCTTGAAGCTGAAAGATACTGATCACTTAGGGGAAAAGTCGAAATATTTAAAATTGTAATGGTAAGTATGAAAAATTGCACATTGTACATTTTAACGCATGAAGTTTTCAGTAAGCTTTTTTCAGGGAGTGCATGATGTTTCTCTTACTTTGTAAGACGTCTTTTAAAATATTTCTGCTTGTATTTTTTAGATTTTCCCCTAAAAAAATAAAATGTACATATTTATAGTTTGAGCACAGATGCATGTTTTGTAGGAGTTGTGCATGGTTTTCAGATGGTGTACCGAGGTCTGAGGGCGCATGTTTTGTTGCAGCGTGTAATCGAACCTACTACGGGGACCTTGGCACGACTTACGAGCTGGAACTGCACAGACCCAGGGAGGACAGACTTCCCTTCGTGTGTCACCTCACATTGACCGCGGGCTCAGGATCTCTGGGGGACATCGTGCAGGTATAAGTCTAATCATGTGGGTGTTATCTAGGGTAGTTTAAAACATTTTGTAATGTACATAGAAGAAATCATTGGCGTAGTTTATTTTACACAATAATCTAACTTAGCCTTCTCTGAAAAATTTTGGGGTAATAACAAAAATTAAACTATGATGGTAAGTACAAATGACAATACAGTCACTATAACAGCAGGCATAATATAATTTTGGATAAGAAGACACGTTTTTTAATAGTGCCTTGAAAGTTGAGGGGGGTCATTAAAGATTCTAATTTTAAGATGGGTAGTTGCCCTTTAGGAAGTTGATATGCCAAAGAAGTGGGGGAGTATTCCCTGACTCGCGTACTGCTACTTAGAACATTTAGGATATTGTCATTCCCAAACAATAGCGAGTAACGGTTACGACATCACTCTCTTTCGGATATCTTTAAAACCCCTTATTCAGTCGAACCACCTGCATAAAAGGCCCAACAGTGATTGGCTATAAATAGTTGAATTTACATTAGTATGCCCAGGTTTTTGGGGACTTATTCTATGGATTGTGTAATAATTTAGATTAAAGATAAGGCGAGTTATTTGGGGATGTTTAAGGACACAAGCTATGAACACGAAAACTCTTTTTCCTATAGTCAAACGACAAAGTTGGCTTCCTTGTACTGTTTATACATTAGTACAGAAAGCTGCTAATTGCTGCATATTTATACTTTGCCGTACGGTTTATACTTTGCCGTACGGTTTATACTTTGCCGCACATCAGGATTCCAACGAAACAACACAAAACAGTGTGGTTCTATTATGCACGTAATCCGTGTACGCTTGGAAATAGGTTGGCAACACTTAAAGATAATAATACTATGAGCAGCTGATTGACTATTATAAATACGATTTAACCTGTCATTTCGTGTTTATAGTTTCGGTATTTCTGAACTTCCTGGACTTTTCTTTTAAACGTTTTTAAAACATTCCTACGATCTTAATAATCAAAAAAATACATTTAAAGCATTTTTTTAGGCGCGGAAACCACTTCAAATTACAAAAACATACGGAACTATATTCTCAAAACGCGGAGCACATTTCTTGCCGAGGAAAAATAGCGGAGTGATACGGACCGCGGGTACTACTTTCTCTAAGGGCACCATTTGTGTTGCCAGCTGAATCTAAAAACGTGTTGTATAGTGTTTGAAAGATTAATTATTTATATGAGTTATAGTGACTGTAGGAAAAATATAATGTGTAACACGAGTGAAAAAGGCCTTTGCTACACTCGAGATCATTCCGCACATTGCTCTCGTGTGCAGCAAAGTGCCACTTTCACCACTAGTTACACAAATAACTATTGTAGGTTAATCGAGAACAAATTACGAATATAAATCCAAAATTCTTGCTAAATCAAAGTATGTCATATGAAAAAGAGAACCCATACCCAAGCACACATAATTAAAACAGGCAGGATATTATTATAATAATTTGCAAATAAAATTCCGATTCACTAATGCAAATTTTAGACAAGATTCTATTTGACTGGTGACAACAGTTACCAACCTTTCTTGGTTGTTGGAGCTCTACAACAAGGTTTCATAGAACTGTTCATCCTCCTAGGTGACGTTCGAGAGTTTCACACTTGGGAGGTTCACGTCGTTCCTGTCCGGAGGTTGTCCAGACGGCGAGATGCAGCTGTGGGAGTGGCAGAGGCCTAGGATCGGCGGCGCGTGGTGTGGAACCTCCTGGGGTCCCTCAGTGTACTTCAGCGAGACTCGCTCCGTTACTATCTCTGTCACTCTACGCCGCATCTCCAAGGATCAGGACGGATACAACTTCGACTTCAGGCTAGGGTACAAGATGCTACCGAAGTACAACGCCATCGTAAGATATGGAGGACTTAGGTTTTTAGGTTGGTTATTTTTTTCATACATAAATTTGCTGGAGTGTTGTTGGTGTTTGTTGAATCGTTACTTTCTTAATTGTGTCTGGTGTGTTAAATATGTACTGGCTTAAACTTGTATAGTGTCTGATACTTAAATGAGTACGGGAGTAGATAGTGGTGACAACAACAGGGTTGTCTGTTCAACCATGAGAAAGATCGGTAGCTTTTTAGTACTTAAACGGGTCCTAACCTATCTCTTGATTATTGGAATGGTTCTGACTAAAGAAATGTCAGGTTTTACTCAATAGCAATGCTTGACCAACATATGACCAACATATAGGGTATGATGCAAACTTAACTACTGACTAGCTTAGATTTGTTCAACATCATTTTACAACTAAAAATCATAATATTTCTGATATTTTTTATTCCTTATTTTTTCCTTGGTGTCGTTTCATAGAAAATTCTAAATGCTAAATAAAAGTGTTCTAGACATTTTTTAAATACCATTAGTCAATTTTGTTTTTTTTGCAAATTCAATTTAAAAACTAAAATGGCTGCCATTTTGAAATTTGGAATCGGAGTAAGATAGTTTTTAACATCGTGGGTCTGTTTTAACTAAACATACCAAGTTTCGTAATGATCGGTTGAAAAATTATAAGTTGAATTGTAAAAAAACTAAATGGTGGATATACTAATTGAACTGGTTATCAAAGCGATTTTGGAAAAAATGTCATTCTTGATTTTCTCTTTGTATTGACCCATAGAACCATTTCTCCGAGTTTGTGTGTTTACTTACGGGACACTCCGTATATTTGAATTTTCAGAAAAGTAAACATCATGTGATTTATTCCTAAAAGTCTGCAGTATTTTTTCATTTACTTTATTTGATCAAGGCAGTCTAAACCTAGATTTTATTATAATATACTAAGTGGTTTGCTGTTCTTTAGATCTGCTGTATGAAACAGTTACATATCTATATTATCTAACTTTGTAGACCTTTTGTTAGATTTTTCTATTCAACACAACATCAATTAAAGAATGAATGGTATGCTGTGAAAACAAAAAAGATAGTGTGTGACATAAAAATATAGACTTTGTATGTAAGTACACGAGTGGTATTAAACATATCAAGGGTTGACGTGTATAAATGGAGCATCACCACCGAAGCCCTCGCTAATTCCTTAATTGAAACTCAAACAAGGCGTCGACAAAGGGCCTATTTATATTTCATTTGTACCATCCGTTACCCGGCCTCCACTGGCTTAACCTCGGGTAAACCCACCCTTATCCTTCCGTTGAAATGTTTGTCCGCTTTAAGTGATTATCAATTAGTCCCTTTATATAGGTTATATCTATAGATATCTATAGATCTATAGATTACCAATACTGAGTGAATCAGTTTTTACAAGTAAGATTTCAATATATAATATAAAATAGAAACTGCACCAATATTTTATAAATTCGTATTTTTATGAGCCCTTTCGCTATGCTGTCATCATCAGACACATCACAAAACTCTATAAGGTTATGTTAACAATAACATTTTTTTTAATATCAAATTTATGGATAGTTTATATAAATATGAATAAAAAGTTAACATTACTAAATTCAAAATTTACAAAGTTATAAGTTAACCTAAATTATGATTTTATTTTTTATACGTGTTTTATTTTTATTTTTATAATTTTATCTAAATGTACTGGATAATAATTATTTTTAAATTTATTATTCTAAACATATGTGGGAAAAGGCCTCATAAAAATACAAACTCATAAAATATATAGTGGAGTTTCTATTTTAAATTATATTGAAACATCACAATGTGGCAATGTGTGTGTGGTAATGTGGCAATTTCGTTAATAGTTCTTCTTGAATATGTCAATATAATTCATCTCTTTTAAGGTTTTATTTGTATTTAGCTGTTACTGGTCATACGATTTAATAATTATAGGTAATACTAGCAACAGAGCCCATTTGGTTAAATACAACGGTCTCTAGTAAAATAATGGTTATGAAATCCATACACCACTTAATTCACTAATATTAATGGTACAGATTAAGCACATAACATTAGAATCACACACTTAACATAGGCAACATACTCTAAACGCAAATGCAAATTGTTAACAACAACTTTTAATCAAAGAAAAATCAATTAAATAACAATAAAACATAAGCTGTTAAATTATTAACGCAGGTTTCGTATGATTAGATTATGCATACCTACTGGTAAACCAATTATTGCCATCTATACAAATTATTGGTTTTTCTTTTCCGAATCGGGTTAGCTCTTCTACCAGACCGATTTTTATAATTTTGGCCTTAAACTAAAGGTATAGACGCACCACAGATTTGCCATCAAGCATCGGCATTCATTTTTATATATATTTCGAGTTATGCACGAAATACGTCCCTTAACAGTACATTCCTATGGGAGTTAAATTTGTGTTTTTTCGAGTTCGTTTGGCTCTTCTACCCGCCCAATTTTCATAATTTTGGTCTTAAAATAAAGCTATGCAAGCACATATTTGTCATCAAGCCTCATCATTAAATTATCCAATGTCTTACACAACAAAAAATGTTAAATCGATTTTTTCAATTTTTACTTTAGTTAAAGATGTATTCCAGCAGTTCTAATTACATTACCCCATATGTTTTGGTCTAAAAACCTTTAGTGAAATGCCAGCTTTCATTTGCGCTATTGATTATTAAGATTCCGATCTTAATAATACTACCTAAATATACCCTGTTATATTTACTTTTTCACCACAAATATTTAATAAAATCACACTTTCATAATTATTTGCAAATCTACATGAGTTAGGCTTTCCAATGACCCATTAGTTAACAAAATCGGTCCAGTAGAAGTATAGATTTAGTTGTACAAAATTTTACAAAAATATCTCAAACTCAATATTTTCTCATTACTATATATTCGGAGGTTGCTTAGCTTTTTTGCATATAACTTTTAAATGGTGAGGAAATCGACCAAAGTGGAAGATGAAATTTTGAAAGAATTTCCTACATTTCCTACATTTTTTACATTTCCTACAAATTGATACCATGCACTTCTTGGAAATACTCAAAAAAAGGCAGCCAAAAGTCGCACCCAAATAAAAAGTGTGAAAAACACCGTTTTTAATGTATTTCTTATGGAAAACATGTTTTTTTTATTTTCACCATAAATCATAACAAAAACAAAGTTTCATAATTATTCGCAAATCTATACGACTAAACTTAAGCTTTCCAACGACCCATTAATTAATAAAATCGGTCTAGTAGAACTCTAGATTTAGTTGTACAAAGATTTTAAAAACTGAATTATATACAGGGTGAGTTTTAATTTTCCCCCCCCCCCAACTTTTTTCTACATTTTTTCAAATATCAATCCCAGACCACTTCCAAACATTGTTGGGTAGTAAGTACTTCATTTTGACAAGGTGGTCATTTCCGGCCGCCATCTTGGATCCGCCATATTGGATGCAAATTTTTTTTTCAAATGTAAAGGTGGGGTTGTGGCCCATTATTTCGAACTACATTTTTACCCTGATTACAATGCCGCAAACCGTTTTTAAAAATCTTGATTCATTCTAAAGTTATGAGGGCTTTTTAAAACTTTATTTTTAGCCCATTTTAACATTATGCATTTACAAACTAAGACCATGATCTCAAAATAGTGCTAGATAAAGATAAGTATACACTACCAGTAATTGTCGACCTATTTTCACTTGGTTATGACTGATGTATTTTTTTCGGCCGCCATCTTGGATTCACCATTTTGAAATGTGATAAATTATTTTAAATATGAAGGGGGTGTTGTGACCCATCATTTCGAACTACTTATTTAAGCTTAACTCAATTCCGCAATCCATTTTTTGTTATCAAGTTTTATTTATGAAATATTGCAATTTTTTTGTTAAAATGTCAATATTTTAAAATAAAAAAATTAAAATGAAAAACGGATCATGGAATTAAGTTCAGCTTATAAAAGTAGTTCGAAATGATGGGTCACAACACCCCCTTCATATTTAAAATAATTTATCACATTTCAAAATTGCGGATCCAAGATGGCGGTCGAAAAAAATACATCAGTCATAACCAAGTGAAAATAGGTCGACAATTACTAGTAGTGTATACTTAACTTTATCTAGCACTATTTTGAGGTTATGGACTTAGTTTGTAAATGCACAATGTTAAAATGGGCTAAAAATAAAGTTTTAAAAAGCCCTCATAACTTTAAAATGAATCAAGATTTTTTTTAAACTGTTTGCGGCATTGTAATCAGGGTAAAAATGTAGTTCGTAATAATGGGTCACAACCCCACCTTTACATTTGAAAAAAATATTTTGCATCCAATATGGCGGATCCAAGATGGCGTCCGGAAATGACCACCTTGTCAAAATGAAGCATTTACTACCCAACAATGTTTGGAAGTGGTCTGGGATTGATATTTGAAAAAATGTAGAAAAAAGTTCGGGGGGGGGCAATAAAACTCACCCTGTATAGAATAGATGGGGTGGCAATTTCGTACACTCAAACACAAGGTTTAAGTTCTTTCAACTTTCTATTTGTATACATTTTGTATATCCACCGCATTACATATATGTACCGCACTCTAAGGGATAATATAATAACAGTAATACCTAATTAAGAAGCAAAAGAAAAAATAAACTACTTAAAAAAGTATTTTTTGTCATATAAAAAAATAAATAATGAGATAATAGTGGTCCAATATAGTTTATTTGTTATGTTTACATTCTTTAAATATTTCCCTACATTCCTTTGTAGTCTCTTATATACTTATGAATTCCTTAGAGTTTACAAAGAGAACTAAAATATTCTATAATTTATTGAGTTCGAGCTTTTGTACGTAGATTATTAACGTTTTAGAATTCATTATTAATAACTGTTGATTACTTGGGTATTTAATTAGTTATATGCCTATAATGACGCTCTATTGAAATATATTACTGGTACTTCAAACATGACCTCAATAGTATCACTATGAGAAAACTAATTGTGAACATTACTGTATCTAAATGTAAATTGACTCAATGAAAAGCAAACATTGTTGAAATATATGCATTGGTTTTGCTACACGTAGACCCAGGTGTAGATATGGACTACTATGGATCTAAATGGCTGGGGCACGTTCCAAGTGGATTCCTTGAATTTTTTGAGTATAAATTGTTATACTTATAATGGGGTTTGTATTTAGATAAACCATGAATGTTGTTACTGTCGGATTATTGCAGACGTCAACCATCATATCAGACATAAATAAGTGTCTACGACGTTTCGGGATCTGGAATCTTCAGGTGAAAGGAACCTACAAAATTACAAAAGATACACAAGCCTATTCAAAGCTGTGAAATCACGATATAAAATCCAAACAGAGCCACCTTATGTTTGGGATTTTCTAGTTTTGGTTGGAATTAATAGCATAATATTTTTCTCTTTTTATAGGTAACGGGACACAATTCCAGATAAAAAAAACTTCATAAAACCTTGTACTTATTTTTCTGGTGACAAATGACCTCAATAATGCTTCAAACATTCAAATGCCCGACATGGGATATTAAGTTTCTACATTTGATTTTTATTTATTCACCCTTGGATGCATGACAGCTGTGTTTGAATGTTTAGATCCTTTCACTGACTTCACGAACACCTCACTGCCTCCAACAGTCACCCCTCAGCACTATCTGGGTGACTTGATCGGAGGAACATTCTGTTCCCGGGTGTTCACCGATTGTAACCGCAAGGACTGTCGTCTGCAGAGTCCCAACTTCCCTGGGGTATACCCTCGCAACCTCACCTGTTACTACGCTATTCGCCAGCAAGAGGTAAAGCCTTCAGTATGGTTTAAAGCTTTAAAATATGATCAGCTATTTGATCCCTAAATAGTATATAATACTTAAAAAAAAAACAGGTTAAAGTTGTTATTTTTAACCCCGCAAGATATTGGACATTTAAACGCACCAAAGGGTAAAAGACCACCCATAAAAGCCCAACACATTCGAATAATATTTCAATAATATTCATAGCAACTATTACAAATTGATGTTTAATTTTTTCGCACAGAAGTAAATCACTTTATAAAACCGATTAATTCACCTTTTGATACATAGCTGGTCTGGGTATTAAACAGTGGGAGTTCTGTCCCGCTGTTATGGAGGTTCGGTTTCAAAGCTAGCCAATCACCGGTAGCTTGCAGCAATGTGATTACGTGGCAATGTTGTTCGAAACCGACCTAAATAATTATGAAGACTTTTTCAGTATAAGATACCGTTCTTAGTAAACAACCGTATACAATTTTTTCCAGTTAACTATTGAGGTTAATAATTGTATTTAAAATGCTTTTCATAGTTATAGCTGGATAACTGTTACAATTAAATAGTTCTGATTTACATTAAATATGCAAAAAAAGGTTGGGCAAAATATAATAATTTTTGATTTGAGTTGTATTAACTACTAAGTTAGTAAGTTAGTAAGTAGTTGTATAAACTACGGTTTTATTTTTAATTAAACTGCATCAATTTTTTACTCATAATTTAATTGTATAACTTTATACAGTTTAGCCATGGCTATTTTCTTGCTCTGTGATTAATTGATTTAATCAATTCTTTATAGGTTCCACCAGGAAAATATGCACTTATATCGGTGAGACAACCGAAAGGCCAACTCGTGAATATAAGGAGCCAGTCCGCCTTATACGCTAGAGCAGGTCAGCAGCCTAACCAAAACACAGCTCACCTTAAGGTAAGTCAGGGACGTTTAAATAAATTAACGTAGTATTATTATTTCTTGAAATTAATTGTTTTAAAATGATTGCAAGAGTTCAAATGTGATACAAGGTTAAACATCGTCAATACTACTCGTCAATTGTTAATTTTAGCGAATTTCCCTATAGGGAAGTAGCTATTACCGTAGGTGGCACGGTAAGACCTAGACCCGGGACCGATTTACTTTTTCATTTTGATGTCTCTAGAGGCCAAAAACACCATTCGTTCAAATTTTTATATATGTATATATATATAGACTTATATATATATATACGTCCGTGAACGCGATAACTTGAGTAATTTTTGTCCGATTTTGATGAAATTTGGTTTAAAGGTGTAAAGCGGGATAAACTTGAATGAGTTCGCGAACCAGCACGATCGGACCATGGGAACGGGGCTTTACGGGGGGTTTTATGGGGTAAAAATTGGTTTTTCTCACTTTTGACCCTCAAAACACAAAATTTCCCAATTTCTCTTTAGACCTTTTTAAAGAGCTTAAAAAACAAATAATTTAGTATATAAAAGTATTTTTGTTCGATTATTAGTAACGGAGAAAATTAAAAAAATTGTAAATTTAAAATTCCCATGTTATTCTTATGGAGAATATTGTCAAATGTTGTAGTTTGCTTGTTTATGGATATATTTTGATCAAACTTGGCAAATTTATTTATTTTGTACTAAGCTATCAATATTTTACTCAAAAACACACTTTATTAGTTTCCTTGTAGCAGCAAACCTAGGTACTCGTTAAACCTAATGTTATAAAATATATTTAACTGAAAATCAATTCGGACAAATGGAAATTCGCTTAGTCGGCAGGTTTGCTGCGGCGGGGGTATTTCATTTTTTTATGAATGCCATTGCTAGAACCGTTCTTGAGCCTAGTTTTGGTTAAACATTAAAATACCTTGCAATAAGTGTTTTAAGTATAATCTTATCTTGGAAACAATTATCTTCATGGAGGTTTAGTAGAATTATAAATGATGCCGTAGACTAAAGGGAAAATTGTATTGTTCATCTGATATTTTTGTTCGTCTTCTTTATTTCATGTCCTCCAAAAAGTTGTCTAAAGAACACGCAAAGTATTGTCAAGTTCTTACTTTCTTACAACAATATTTTTATCGCTGTTACTCAATCGTATATTTAAGCTATCTTATTACCTTAAAATAATAATATATCTCATAAACGAGTTGTCTGTGAGTCTATAACGTATAAAGGAGCGTGTTATCATAATATTAAGCTCGTTTGAGAAATTTGGAATGCGCCCAAGCCCAAATGTAGAGGGAGGGGCAACATGGTGTGGACATAGCTTTGGGTTATGTGTTACTAAAATTTACAATCAACGCTTTTGATGGATAACAACATTTTAAATGCAAATGAATTATTCGTTATATTCTGAATTAGTATAACTAAATGTTTTCTGTACAACGTTTTTTGTATAGCCCTGTCCCTCTTCCTTCAAGAGTATGAATATCCGCGAACAAATCTTAGCTGTCAAAAAACTAAATATCTCATTTATTATTTTCACTTAATTCCAGTTTACAGGTATTACTTAATAATTTAATTTAATATAATCTAGATAAACTAGACCAACTAGTCTATTACCCAGTGTAAAGAGAGTCTTCATTTGTTTCTCAAGTAATGGTAGTAGTTATTCTTTGGATCGTCCGAAGATTATCGTCCTATTTTACTATCTACAAACGTGCATGAAAAAAATTATACCCATCCAGAGATTAGTACTTTAGTGAATCATCTAGGTACGGTAAGTAAAATATGATAAACATATTGTTCCCTTCATATTTTCCTTAAGTTATGCAGCCTGATGTGTTGCCGTGAAGAGATATATTTGACTAGAACGAATCTAGAAAAGAATAGATAAATAGAACGACGGAACGAAAATGTAACTTGATATTCGTTCTACGGGCAACTATTTCTCTAGATAGTGAAATACTTTCAACGATCGACAAAACCGTATACTCAATTATGCATCACTAAACCTCTAGCATCATAAAACCTAGTGAGTACTACCATGGCCACCTCTAATACACTGTACTATACACTCTACTAATATTGTGTACTAGAGAAGGCTATGGTACTACGACTATCCTCAGTAGCCTACTATCCTGATAATAAGACCTTTTCGTTAATTTCAAGGAAAAAGTTTGGTTCGGATTCCACTATAAACTGTAGGTCCCTTAGTTGCCATTGGCTGTATGGGCTATTAATTAACAGCTGTGTCTAAGGAACATGTCGGCCTTACTCACAAGACTACAAGATCGCGCCACTCATCATACACCCATCTTTCACTCATATTTGGGTTAAAATACGCACATAGTGGCATCCCCATCGATATAATTGACCTTTGTTTTCTTAGCACTGAGTGCATGTTGATGGTCTATGCTAGGCAATGAAGAACTGTCCTCTAAAATGCTCACAATAAACATTAAGTTAAATTTTTATTCTGCTAGTTGCCTCGTGTTCACTTGATGTCCAATAAGTTCACTGATGCACATTACGTCTCAGAGTGCAACATCTTCAGTTGTTACAATAAAATATAAAATCCCACCCTAGTATTTTAAATTTATAAAACTGTCTAAGCCATTCTTGTTTTTTCACATCACTAACATTATATTGTTAGCAAGTTGCAGTGGGGACAAGCTCGGGTTAAGAACGCGGGAGGTTTAATTTCATATAAACGGAAACAGTTTGAAGGACAGTGTCAGGGGTGTGAACGAACTGGGCGTGGGTTCCTCCGAATTGTACACTGTGGTGTTGTTAGTTTTCAACAAGGGTACCAAATCCGTTGGATTTGGTTTATTTCATAGTAAAAAAAATGATGGAATGTTTTAAATGTTCTTTTATGTTTAGCAGGTTAAGGCTACCAGGCCCGGATTCAGTAACATGTTTATATAATTGGTAGCTTTCGTGAAACTTGGCTGTTGCTTTAGATTGAGTTATAATTACAACTGTGAGGCAATCAGGGAAGAATGCTGAATGGGCGGGGTTTTGTTTGAGATATTTTGCTACAATCTAATAATAATAAGGGTTTAATTGTTTTGAAACTACTTTAAATGAAATGAAAAATAGCCAAAATAATCCCAAACAACCTTTATAATTCAACCCTATAACACTACAGGTCTGGCAGGAGTGTGACGAGGTACAAGACTATGTGACAGTCTACGACGGCTACACCACCAGGGACCCTGTGCTTCTCAAGTTCTGCGGTGGTGGGGTCGCGGTCCCAGAGGCTGTGTCCAGCACACACGAACTGTTGGTCGAGTTCTCCACTTCACCATACGGAACATTCCTTTACCCGGCCCCTCCAATGCCTCTGCACGGCTTTCAACTCCAAGTCCAGGCAAGTGTTCCTTGCAAATTGTATATCTTTTGATTGTGTTTAGGCAAGCAATGTGGCATAAGCTGGCCAATTTCCTAGAGATCACAAATAAAGAAGTCAGTGTAAGGAGTACAAGCAAGTCTGTAGAAGGGATAGACGTTGAAAGATGGCTAGGGGGGGTAGTCGTATCCTTAACGTATTATGAACAGTAACTAAAACCACAGTTTGCAAATTAAAAAAAACCATTCGAATCTGTTCTAAATTGCCTACGTCATTTTAAAATCGTTATTGAATCTAAAAACTATGAAAATACATATGCATTTTTGTGGTCCATATTAAACTGTATTATGATTAACATTTAACAGTAACTAAAACCACAGTTTGCAAATTTAAAAAAAAAACGTTCGACTCTGTTCTAAATTGCCTACGTCATGGTAAAATCGTTTTTGAATCTAAAAAGTATGAAAATACATATGCACTTTTGTGGTCCATATTAAACTGTTGAAAAAAAGAAGAATCTTTGGAAGGCAACATTCATAGTAAAATTTACCTATTACACAAGGTTACTAATTGCATAATCATTTCTAACAATTATAGTTGGTAGGCTACTAGGCCTAATCTTACCGTACTTAAGGAATTTGTTCTACCTACAACCTCGTCAATCCATTTTGAGTATGGATTGAATATGTTTGATTGATGATTAATATTTAATATAGATCAGCTTAAAAGTAATTATCATAGTCAGTTTTACTCTTAGAAACTTGTTCAGAGTGATGAGTTTTGAGTATCATCTTTGTTCTTAGGTAAGGTTTGTGGACAAGGAGTCGCCGAAGTATGCCCGCAACAAGCGATGTGAGTTTTGGTTGAAAGGTGCGGGGAAAGGAGTCTTGGAAAGCCCGAGGCACTCCCTCGCAGCAAACACAACTTGCTTGTACCATCTACAGGTGAGGAATCTTTTGAGTTTTATATTGTTGTTAATCCATTCTAAACGCAAAACTGTAGTTTAATTAATATAAAAAAGCCAGAGTGTTAGACAAATCAAATAAGTCAAAATTTCGTGAAACATTACCCCACAAAATATTTTCAGTACCTTTGATAACCAGTATTTAAAACTGTGACACAATTTTTTGTGTGTAGCTTTTCTACATTAGAGGATGTTAACAGACAAAAAACTGTGAAATAATTTTGTTCGGTTTGTAATAAATAACCATGATGCAAATGAGAAATTGTCCCTAAAGACTACTTTCTCGTTCTTAATTATTGTTATAAATAAGGCTTTAGTAGTTACAATGAGTACAAACCTTATAAGAAGGCAAATGCTTATGGGGAATAGTCAGACTAGATTTGCAGCCAAAATGACCGTTGTGTGGACGATTGATTGGGTAAAACGCGCCTATTTACTCACAACATCTAGTTTACACGCAGCCCGATTTTATATCCTTCCTTGTCTATTAAAAATGACGTATCAAAGTGATTCTCAGTTAATTGAAAATCATTTTAAAGTGTTGTGTCACTTATTCAAAATAGGATTTGTTTTCAAAACTGTGTTTGCAGCATAGCAATCAAACAGAACGTCGTCGTGTTTTTATTTTGATTCATGGCAATATGCCATAATGTTCCACGTTGTTTTAGGGTATGGAGCCGGGAACCCCACCTCCACCACGGCATCTAGAACTGTCCAGACGTCGCACTCAGGCTCTCATACCCACCAGGTTCAAAGTGTGGCTGGCGGTGCTCAAGTACCATGTGACCCCAGCAGACGACACAGAGTGCGCCACCAGACTCCAGGTGTGGGACGGTAACATCAGGGCCTCGCCATCCTGCAATGAGATTTATTGGTGAGGATCTACAAGAGCTTACAACGCAGTATAGAATGAAAATGTATTCAAGAATTAATTAGAAGATTTCTAGACAGTTTATTACTTTGATGAGAAAACCAAAGTTTAATTACTTATTTTTTAATAAACTTTAATTTGGTATATACTTTTAATATATATAATTTGATACTACTTTTAATATTCTAGTGAAATATGCGAGCCAAAACATAGCCCTAAAATTTCACTACAAAAATAAGTAAATAAAACTGTCAACATCTCCTTCTACATTCTCGTAAAAACCCTAATTCTATTGGTGTTAAGAACTGGATTGGAGGTTCCAGCTATTTTATTCATACAAGGTTCCAGAGAACAACTTTAATACTTCTTGAGAAGTACTTTAATGGTTTTTTCAATCCTTTCTATAATTTAATGTTGTGAATCATGCCTTCCATTTCTTGGAATGAGAATTCTTTTCGAACAGCAATCAAACATGCCAGAAAGACCTATTCTGGATGATATGAACTCAAGTAATCAGATAGCTAATTAAATAATACATTTTCAATTATGAAGACATCAACTGTTTTTCGCCTTACCGTTAATGTGACAACCTTTTGTAGTACCAGCCTACTAGGGCTGATGAAGCAAGAATTAGTTCTATAAACACATATTCACGAAATGAATTAATGTTTTTAGATGCTTTAGAGACTTTGTGTGGAATACCTTAAATAATTCAAAGTTTTTTATGATTACTCTTAGTTTGCTTTAAATTTATACAGCCTTGTAAGGGTACAATTAATTACTCATCGACACCATCTGTATAGCGAGGAGAAGGAGGGAGGTTCTATGGTGTATAGCGCGGGGCGTAGCAGCAACTTGACTCTGCTCGCCAGATACTGCAAGGACCACATCCCTCGCAGCTGCGACCACTCACTACTCAACAACGCCACCCGCGCCACTCGCCCGTGCTCCCTCGCAGAGAGCTTCCTGTCGACCGGGGACTCCATGACCCTGGAGCTCAAGGTCACTCATTCCACCGCGCTCAGGTAGGCCTACCTCTCCTACATTTACGACTAACTAATGCCACACGTAAAAGTCTTCTTGAGACTGAAATACAGCTCAATGTGCTACCCGCTGTATAATTATAGTATGTATATAAATATGGTTGTTAGCTGTTAGTCATTATTGAAAAAAACAATTTGCTCCTTGAAATTCTGGATTTCATGACATTGTTATATGCGATGGGAACGGACAAAAATGTTATTTACAAAATAGGTCACTTTCTCAATATTTTACTAAAGTAAAATTTCAATAAAATATGTTCAGCGCATGGTACTCAAACTTCCAGGGACTAATTACAATAATTTATTGTACCTTATTAATCGTTAATTTCTTCAAATCAACGATGTTACAATGACTAACACACTAACAATCTTCAAATAAATTATAGTAACATGATGGATATTGTCAAATATTTGTACTAGGTAGAAAAATATATAAGGAAGATTTAACGCTAGAAAAATTAGTTTACAACGAACAATCTCAAATTTTTGTCCACTTTTTTTCTCCATCCAACTCAACATTGAAACTCCATGTTTCAGGCCATTGTCGTTCAGAGCGTTGTATGAGTTTGTGGACCTCCACCAGGACGGAGAGCCGTACGGCCAGGGTCCCTGCTCCAGAAAGTTCACCAGCAGATCGCAGCACTTGCAGGGTGAACCTCAGAACTTCACCTCTCCTAGAGACGTGTTCCTGTTCGGGAGAGGCGGAACGACCAATCTGAGGTTTACTATTTCACACTTCTTATGACACTTATTATCCTACATAAGTCAACACTTAAGACGACTCTGTCTCGTTAACTAGAAATTGTTTCATCTTTAATTTTATTTAGAAAAAGTTAAGAAATATTATATTAAATTTATTTTGTTTTTTGTTTGGATAAACTAAAGGATGAACTAAATTAACTTCAATTATGATATACTGATGTCGGATTTTTATATTCAATATGCTATATACTAATTTTTTTATATTTTAGCCATCTAAGAAATATGTTTATTTCGATAAAACGCGAACTTGAAATATAAATACGTTTAAAAAACAAACACCCTAACTAGATGATTTGAAAAGGTGCAAATCAACCTAAACTATAAACCATTTAACAACATTAGTCCTAGAGTTCACATCTAGAAGAATTATAAGCCTACTAGAATTTTAATAATTTCCTCCAAAATATACTAGGTTAAATAACAATTACATATGCATACATTGAGGTGTATAATTCAATGCTAACAATTATCAATCACATCAAAATAAGAAATATATGAATGGTTAGCATCTAGAACGGTTGAAACTCCTCAGCAGGACCTCAGCCTGATAAATCCTTTGTAATTGCAGCGTATTCCTTTACTAAACCAATCTTCTTGGAGCGTCTAAAGTTTAATTAGAGTCTTAAAGTATTAGGGTTGATGAGAACTGCAGTTAACAAAATCTTAATTTTATTTCAGTTTATTGCAGACTTAATTTTGTTATAAATGTAAGTTACCTTGTAATAAAATACTATTACACTTTTATTTCACTGTATTTCAGCCTGAAACTATAATTTTCAAGCAAAAGAATTTTTTTTAATGTTTTTTTAGAGAACTGCATATAATACTAAATTGTCAAACAACTTTTGTTTATAAAATAATGTCTTTTTACTGCAGCAAATAGTGTAACACGTAACATGCTGATAAAGTACGCTAGCAACAACGCCATTGATATCAGTCGTTTCACCAAACTATTATGTCAAAAAAAAACCAAACTTATAACATTATATATTATAATATTACTTATCACAAGAATTTTTCAATATTAGGTTATTTTGCTATTTGCACTTATCCACAGTGTGTATTAAAAAATCAAGATTTTTTTTCGTTTTTAGTTTGCGTTGCTGTCCTTAATAATTAAATACTTGATTTATTTATTTACCTAACCCGCCATGTTAAACTTCCCTATCCCAAGCGTGATGTATACAACTTCCTTACTTCTCGAGTGATGTAAAGTTGAAAAAAACTCACTCGGTGATGTAATGAAACCCATTTAAATAACATTGAGTGGATAACTTAAAAAATATACCTCTATGGAGCCAACGACGTTCAACGCTAGACATCAGCTGTGTGTTTGAATTTTATTGTTATGCTTTGAAGAATTTTCCGAACCTAGCTTTTGTTTATAAATGAACGCTACTGTTAGAAGATGAGTGAAATTGATAATGAAGCATATTGCTCGTAACCTCCTGAATATTGTCGGGTCAGGTAAAATCTTGTACGTTACACGTTACGCAAGAGCGAGTTTACATCACTTCGGTGAATTATGCAACTCGCCTTCGCCCTGCGTGATGTAAAAACGCTCTTACTACACTTGTAATGTAAATAGCTACTAGTTAACAGCCCGTGCTTTGCCACGGGAATAATGTCAGCAATAAAAGAGATAATAATTTTAACAATTTTAATAATTTTAATATACTTATGCTATTGAGATGTTAAATTTGCTTATGTATATTCCTACATTCATTATTTTTTATTTAAATTCTGTATTAAAATGATCAAATACTAAACAACACTGGTAAGGTTAAAGGATTTTATTTTTATTTTTCATCTAGTAAAAAGTTAAAATAGATTAAACAAAATATGTTTCATTTTAAGTGTGCAAGAGTTCTTTGTATACTATATTTTTTGTATAGACATTTCGGTCATTTCTTAGGTGCCCATGATCCTTTGTATCCGATATGTAGAAACGTAAGCCATTGAATGATCTTTCTCTACTTTCTGCTACGTAGAGCTGTCCGTGGGAAAAAGGGTTTTGGTAGGTATACACCGATTTTAGCGATTGATTGCCCTTGGACCTTATTTATTGTCATTGCGAATGCAAGGATTACGGGAAACTGAGTTCTTTCAAGTTTGAATGGCAATAAAGTTCCAGAAGTTGTTAGATGAATTCGTGGGATAAGAATCCTTTGTCCAATCGAAGTCCCCGTCAGAATTTCACAATCTATTGAGTTGCGGTACAGGTTTTTCACTCGCATTCTTGTTCCGTTAATTATTGCTTTAGATGTGTTCAAATTTCTGATTAGCATTACTATAGAATTTTTTTCAAAGTCAGTTTGTGAGGTGGTAAGCCACTTACAGTCAAACTATTGAGAAATTCAGTTGGGAATGTAGTGTGAGCCATGTCATCATCTGCTATCACCTTGTCAACACTACAGTAGTCTATTTCTTCACCAGGTAAATTTTTTAAAATGCAATTATTAATTAATAAACAGTCTTCATTTCTTGGTGCTAGTACAGCTCTCTCAGTAATGTCTGAAGTTGCGATTAGTTTATTAAGATCTTCGTAAATATCTTCAATTACTGAGCCAGAACTAATTAACTGGGTGGGTATTTTCATTATATCCTCTCCCAAATCAACTTCTTTGTTTAGTTCACCATTACCGACTGATCTGAGAAACTTTGAAAACTCTATTTCACTATCCAATACCTTCATGTTTTTAGACAAACTCAGTTGTTTAACGCACCCCCAGTGCTCGTAAGATTTAACGCATTGTTCAATTATCGTGGCTGGACCAGCGTGTGGTACTACTGGTAGTGTTTGGTGAAAGTCTCCACACAATTAGATAACTTTACCACCTAAGAATAGTTTCTTATTTATTTTTGTTTCTCATAAGATCTCAAAGTAATCCATCGATAATGTTTAAAACATATACTGGACACATAGATATTTCATCTATAATTATTAATGAAGACTCTATAATTATTTTAGCCCCAGGAATGTTTGGTTTGATACCAGATGTTGAGTTCTCCAAGATGGGTATAGGCAATTTGAAAATATTGTGAAGAGTCCGACCTCCATCTAGGAGGCTGGCTGCAATGCCACTGCATGCACATGGAATACACTGTTGTTGCATTGATCATAGTTTGCACAGTAAAGCTTTTTGCACAAATGTTTTTCCACATCCTGCATATGCTGTTAAACAAAATACGTTTGTAGAAGATGTTTCCTTTAGTATGGCTTCTAAAACAGTTTCGATAATGAATCTTTGCTCATCATTTGCTTTATTGTACATTTCCTTAAATAAACTGTCTTGTTCTTGAGCATCGAATGTGTTTCTTTTGATAGTATACTGAATAGGAATAGGTAAGCCGAGTTCTTTACATGACGTATTATGGATGATTCAAATATCCTCTATTTCCATTAGGCATAAATTTATAGAGCTTTGTGTGTCATGGCGTAGTTTGAAATCTTCACACAAGTAATCTTTAAATTCTTCCCAAAGTTCTGCAGCAATTGTTGGAATGTTTAGTCCACAAATAAATCCGAAGAGTTGACGTAACTGGTATGGCATTTGTGTCTCCTTGGCTTCATTGAGTGATTCACGCCATTCGTTATTGTTGGTTGCAATCCCTCTGGCATATGCAGCTTCTACAAAAGAGTTGTACCTTACGCTGTTGAATGTTAGCAAGTCCTCAAAACATGATGGACCACGGGCATGCAGTAGAATGAGGCGAAGATAGTATATTTCTGGTTGTTTTGGGTTGACAATGTATAACCTCGTTATTGTTTTTTATGCTCCCTGTTTCCTCCGTTTCCAAGTTCTATTTATCGTGTCCCAAGTATAGTTTTGAGGAATTTCAGTGTACAGGAGATGTTGTGCATGTGTATCAGTTTTGTTTGAATCAAAGAAGGCTTGTAGTTTAGTTTTCTTGGGATCAGCAATAACACCATCTTCTTCTCCCTCTTTGAAAATTACTGTCTGTTGGTCAGGTAAGTGTATATCTAGACGAATCAATGAGTGAGTTTGAAAATGCATTTTGTACTCAAATATACGCCAAACAGATTCAGTTGAACCAACGTAACGGCCGTTTGAATAAGAATCAATCTCATCATAAACCAGAACACTGCTGTTTTCTTTGAGAATTTTAGTGTTGCACAATCATCCCTTGTACACATACTTGTATGTATATTTAATGCTTTTAACAGTTGTGCAGACTTCTACGTTCATATGACAGTTGAACTTAATTAGAAGGTATGGATTGTATGGAACTATATATATATATCTATTGTCTATAGTATGTCCACGAACGTCGACAACTATGCCATTATCGCGGCGTTTATATTCAGGATATCCATTTAGATTGTCTCTAGTGCTATTGTTAAAAGCTTTTGGGAACTGTTTTGAACACTTTCCCTTAACCATGTATGGGGAGTTTAGGTTTAGTGAGCCACATGGCCCATGTACCATGTGATTTTGCACCAATCTGTGAAGAGTTGCATGCTCATTTGGGTCAGGAATTTCAGCAGAAACAAATTTATCAATATCTGCAATATTGTGAATCTTATCATCATTGTCAAGTGTCAATAAAATATGAGCATGGGGTAAGCCACGTTTCTGAAATTCGATAGTATATATCAATGCTGCTATTCTTCCAAATACATGTTTCTTTGTAAGGCACATAATAAGTTCTTTAAGTTTACAATGAAACACACGCACGACCAAATCTGGTATGGTTATAAACAATGAGGGCTTTCCAAACTTTTGGACAGTAGCCATAGCGTCTAAATAATGTTTATGCATATTCCGTGGAGATCCAATAAATGAAGAAGGCAATATTATTTGTTTTCCAACAGCATCGTCCTGAAGACCACTTCTTTTGTGCACGAAGTCAGCAATATTCAGATAAAGATCAGCATGTAGGCTGTTTTGATTGAAACGAATATAGTTTAAACGTGTGCCCTCAATCCTACAATACATGTCCACTGTCCATTGCAGGTAGAGTTTTTGTGATCTATGCAATAGGCTGAAATCTGGACGAATCGCAAGCCGATAGGATGCGTACTGCAGTAATGTAGTTTTTTTACGTCGATTTACACTACAACGGTCATGTTCTGTTTGGGGTTTCCATCCAAAGTCACCATATGGGAACAACAGAAGATAGGCCAATGGGTCTAAAGATGGCTCAATCACAGAAATTTTACGAACACCATTAGATCTTGAATATACTCTTAAGTTTCTCTCAGCAGGGGGTGCACCATCTTCTGACCGGAATCAGCCACATCTGTTTGAACGGCATCATTGTAGCGTCTCCTGTCACACAGTTTGTCTTCCACTGTATGCATAAGAATTTCAGAGTCATATTTACAACACATATCTGCCACAGTTCTAAATGAAGACATGAAGGGATTGATGGAATAAAGATATTCACTTAAATCATGCATCAGCAGTTGGTCGCATTTCACATTGGACCTTTGACCCATTCTGTGAGTAACAGCGGTGTTTACGTCGTATTAGTTGGGCACACTTTGGTTCAATGTTAGAGAGTATTAACGGTCCAATCCGATGGTAAAAGGAGTCATGGATCTTAAAGTTATATATACAACCAGATGTTGATTCATCTAAGTGAGACTCAGAACTCACCATAGCAAAAGCTGAGTTGTATGATCTTATACCTGATCGGCGTTTTTTTTTTTAGGAACTTCCAGGGCACATTTTACACTATCACTGCTCTTTACTTTTTTAGTTCGATGTTTTTCTACGCGTGTTTTTGTTCTGTTTGTCTCTTTACGCCCAGTTAATGACTTTTTACCTTTTCTTTTTCTTTTTGTACTTTTTTCATCCTGGGTATTATGAGAAAGTTTTATAACACTGTAATGACCCGAGTCAACATTGCCACTAAACATCAAGTCACACACTTCTTCGCCAGAACCAATGTCATAAGTCACAGTTTCTTCAGCAACTTCCCTGTGTAATCGAAATAAATAGTTAGGGTATAGCTCACTGATACATTGTAGTTCCACGTATCCAGCGTAATTGCCATCTCGGGAAAGTAAAGTTTGGTATTGGTGACGGTCAAACACTGATGTTGAGTACCTAAGACTCATCGCCTACGATAAAACTTTTGTATTTTTCCCACTCTTTAACAATTTTCTGGACAACTTTCAAACGGATTTCCCTATGATTGTTCTGGTGGCCGTATAGAATAAATGATATTGATCCAAACAAACAGTTTCCGTCCCCTGCTATAGGTATAATTTCATGTTCCATACTCAAACATAAGCTCAATCAACACTTTCCTTCAGAAACACTTTCAGCAACACTTTCGCAGGAAAACTAACACATTATTCGAAAATACAAAATTGACACTAAAAAATACAAATAATGTTTAAATACATTTACAAATAATACATCGTGGTATACAACCTTATCAAATACACTTTTCCTTGAAAACTCAATCAACACATTCCTTCAGAAACACTTTCTTTCAGCAACATTTTTGCAGGCAAACTCAAACATTATTCGAAAATACAAAATTGACACTAAAAAATACAAATAATGTTCATATACATTTACAAATAATACATTGTGGTATACAACTTTAACAAATTCACTTTTCCTTGTTTGAAATCGTGTGTACAGGAACTCCTAGATTAATAATTACATACTGAAAGTAAGGTTACAATAATAATAACAAATCTAACAAATATTAAATAGCTGACATATGATTAACAATTATTAAATAAGCTGTAAATTATATTCTTCAATAAGAATGTATTGACTCAACCTTTGAAGGGCTGTAGGTCTTAACCCTTAGAAAAAACGTGAATTCTAATGAAGTTCGGCAAATCTATGCATTATCCCCTTTAATTTGACACATAGATCTTGTGGATCGGTCCAGTAATTACTGAGAAAACAGTGTTACAACTGTGTATTAAATATATAGATTACAGTATCCCTCCTGTTTTTTGCATAATTTTTACTCGTATATGATATCAGCTGTGTTTGTGTCCAGCTGTGTTTACCGGTTCGAGGCCCAGCGAGGAGACAGTGTTCGTATCACCATCCACGGCATGCAGACCGCTAACAGATCAAGTTGTGTGACGAGAAATAACACCGACTCCGGCAGACTACAATGTGTTGGAAACGCGACTGCTCAGTTGAGAATATGGGAGGTAAATGAAACATGGGTCTCCTTTTATAAAAAACGTTTTGAGGAATTTATGAAATCCTTTATCTTTAAAAAACTAACATTTCAGCATTTTAGAATGTTGAAATAAAATCATTCTACGGTTTATGGTTGGTCAAGGCGTACACTGTCGTCGTTAAGTGAGATATTTAAAAGTATTATAAGTTTATTTTAAAGTTCAAATTCATATATTTATAAGATTTTCTTTTCATTATAAATAGCGCTGATTGAAATAATTGGTTAGGTCATCAAGTGAATTTTTTACTTGTTTATTTCAAATTTAGCTTAAACACTTTCAACTTGATAATAGCATAGGTCTATGTGTGTATTTGCCATTTATATTAAGGTATATTTCATGAACCAAGACTTTTAGAAAACGTTTAATGATACCATATTATCCAATTATTTAACAAACAACGAGAAAAAGAAAATTCCTTTAATTTCTCTATGGAATGATTACGATTTCATTAGAAATCCAGCGATGAATTAATAAAGCCTCAATTTGTCACAAAATCAAACTAAAATTTTGTGTAGTATTTTCTTTATTTTCTTTGTAATTATTTCTTTTAAGCTAGCAATAAAAAAATGTATACCACCAAAACACTCAATTTCTCAACTGTGTGCAGGTGTCGTGGAGCACTGCCATCCCTCTAGGTCGTGACTGTCTGTGTGGAGGTGCAGATAACTTCCTCCCTTACACCTTCACCTCCGCCGCCCACATAGTAGAGGTCCACTTCACAGCACTTCACATGACCTCCACTGACGACTACCGAGGTCTCAACTTCAGAGCCTCCTGGGAGTTTGTGCGTACCCCAGTCTGTCCCAGGAAACAGAGAATTGCTGGCATCAGTGGGGAATTGTTGTTCCAGTCACCAAGTCGCACACCAGATGAGGTAAATGTTTTATTAATCACAATGTCCCTGAACAAAAAAACTGCTAAAATACAAATATTAAATATACAGATTGTGATATAGAAGTGGGTATTTAAGGTAAATGTTACTACTTGTTGAAACAATTGATTTCTTTGCATGCTTTCAGTTAGATAATTAGAGTCAACATTGTTGTTAACCTCGTTGTTACCGAGTAAGGCCATTCAATAAAATAATCATCGTAAGTCCAAAATAATTTTTAAAACTCGGACAATATTTACAAGCCTTAGAACAATATCGAGATGGGAATAGACATATTATTTACTAATTAGGTTTGTGAATAATTTTGTTGACAAAATTTAGTAGTTTTTTTTTAAATTTTGGGTGGTACGAAATTCGGAGATCCAGACACTTTACACTCAAAATGGAATAAAATCATCCATATCACTATTATATAAAAATAAAATCGCGAAAGCATCTTTTCCAAACACCTAAATACAGTATTGATTGCAAACCCTACCAAAACCATCCGCAGGCACAGGTAGAGTTAATAGAATGTTTTGCTGTAAAAATGTGATTGCTTATAACAGACTATTTTTTTAATATATGTTATTTTTATCTTATCAATGGTATTTGCCAAAAATAGTATAATTATCCTACACCCTACCACCACTACCCAAGAGGGAAACATTTTCCAAATTAACCATAATTACTGTAGCCCCTCATTTTTAAGAAGGTTGCCACAAAACGATTTTAAATATCTCAAAAGGCTCAAAAGTTAAGGAAGGGTGCAAGTTACTTTTCAGCCCCCCTGTATAATCAGGCATTCTATGCCTAAAATTATTCAGCCCGGCAAAGTATCAAATAAGCCTCATTATTTAATTTTCCTACTCATTCTACAGAATGCTTTTGCCACTCCAGGCAACGTTTAAAAAAATACGTTGTTTTAGGACTTTTTTCCTTTTTTATCATTAACTAATCTAATCCAAAATAAACTAACCCAAGCCAACAAAACCTAATCATATACAAAATGCTTCATTATTTTAAAGAAACTCGTTAGACTTTTGATTTCTATTTATAATCTAGCCATTTTAAGGTTTTAAGTGGAAATAATTCAATAAATGTTGAAACTGTGCACATGTGTAGTACTAATACCCAGTAACAACATATCAACAATCAAATTTAAATTATAAGAATTAAATTCGTGCATGCTGTGCTACGGCAGCCATCTTGGAAAATGGCGGCCAATTTTCACCTTTTTTACCATATTTCACTAACCGTTGGAAATACAGAAATGTTGTTCTAACAAAAGTTAAAGAACAGAAAAAAATACATCTCGTTAGTTATGGCAATACTAGTCCTACCTCAAACGGTTATTGAGGAAAATTGAAATTAATATTAATTTTAAAATTCCTATGTTATTCTTTATGGAAAATAAGAAAACTGTTGATGTTCGCTAGTTTATGGATATCTTTTTAATAAACTTAGAAAATTTATTTATTTCATACTAAGCTATTAATATATTGATAAAAATAACAAATTTTATAATCCTCCCTGTAGTAGCAAACCTAAGTACTTATTAAACCTGACGTTATTTAAATAAACTGTGATTGTTAACTTCAGAATAAGCCACGTCCCCAATAACTGTTGGTAACTACTGTGCTGATTCAAGTCTAGTGTAATGTATGAACAATACCCCCGCCGCAGCAAACCTGTACACTAAGTAAAATTCCCTTTGTCTGATTAATTTTCAAATAAATCTATTTAAAGCACAGCATACACGAATGTTGATGTTTGATATGTTGTTACGAGGTACTAGTCCTACACTTGTGCAAAGTTTCACCATTTAGAGAATTATTTCCAGGTAGACGGGTATTTTGCATCTTAAAATGAATGGACTTAGGTATTAGCCAGTCTAAACTGAAATAATCTTTACTAACCTAACCACATTATATTTTTCCTACAGTTACTATAAATCATATAAATAATTAATCTTTCAAACACTGTACAACATGCTTTTAGGTTAGGCTGAATCCAATCAATGAACGAAATGGGAAACGCTGCACCAGCTGATCGTAGTCGTATCTTTATGTTGCCAACCTATTTCCAAGCGTACGATTAACGTGCATAATAAAAGCACTCTGTTTTGTGTTGTTTGGTTGAAATACTGATGTTCTACAAAGTAAAAAGTGTGCAGCAAAGTAAGTATATGAAGCAATTGGCAGCTTTCTTTACTATAATCAGTGCAAGGAACCCCACTTTGTCGGGTGACTGTAGGAAAAATATTTTAATATTGTAAAGAGTTTATTTGAACAAATATCTTTATTTTATACTTTGTCTAAACGCTTCAGGCAATATACTGCCAAGTAGTTCTTTATAATACCTGCATTTTGTACTTTGTCAGTAATGGTAATATATTTATATATGTGTGTTTGTATATAATTCACCTATCTACATGTGTCGTTCTATTGAAACAATGCAGTTATTGAATTTTTTAATTGTTAAAACTATGTTAGTTTTCGAATCTCAATAAAAGAAATTATAAAATTAAACACATGTTATCAAGTTTTAATTTTTATGTGTAAGATAAAATGTTAGGCTAAATTTTCAATTAGCAAGTCTATGAATATGCCACCAGACAACTCTTTGAATTTCACTTTTTCCTTTGTCAGTTAATTTGGCTGTTAATTGACAATTATTGTCTTTTGATGTTGATTGCTTAACTAAGTTTCTTCCACTCACGTTTCAATGACGTTTTAACTCAATAACTAAAACCCACTTATATATTATCATTATTTAAAGTGTGATACGTGTTAAAATCTATTTATTCATACTTTTTGATAATAGACTACTTATGTTCATGAACAAATTTTGTTAAATTTTCCATAACAATTATTTAGTATTCCCTCTCCAACTAAATACATTCTATACATCTCTCTGATGAATTTTACAAACTAGGTTTCCGTCTGGCTTTCAGCATTATCATTATATAATGCAAAACCACATAAACTAATTAGATTAACTTTAATAAAATACATATACATGCCCTGAGATACATGTACTCAGGATTCTGTGGGTTAGTTCTGATTTCGATATTGATCTAGGGCCCCATGCTTCAAGTATTCAGAAATATCTATGAGGTTGAGTTTAAAATTGTAAGTATTATAAAAAAAACCTAAAACAGTCACATTTTATCTGTTTGCATTTGGACGAATTAAAGAATTTAAATTTTCAACTCAGTGATTTGTATTACAGTAATTAAGAAAGGGGAAATCCATTTTATTGGTACAACTAAATTTTTATAGCCAATGTTTCGGGTTGGTGTAACTAATTTGTACAGCAACTTAAAGAATCACATACTGTATTTTTATCCACTGTGTCACCATGGGTCGGAGAAAGGGTCACACCACACTATTGATAAATAAGTAAGCTGTAGGAAAATATAAAGAGATTTTTGTTGTTATACAGATACCCTTACAACCAATTTTTCATATTGTTTTGAATTATTATATTTATTTATTTTATTGTAAAAAGGAGGATCTATTTGCTTAATCCCTCACCGTGTTACCTTTACTTAGCATCATAAATTAATTGATTAGGAAAAGTTTTATTTTGATTAAATCTTGTAGTTAGTGAAAAGATTTTAACAAGTCAGGGTTATTTTGTAAATCTAATTTGTAAATACAATTCAACCTTTACAGGTAAACTGTGAAGGTCATCCCTGGGTCATCACTCCTCTAGACGCAAGGTTCCTATACGTCCAGATCAAGGGAACAGTGATTCGTGGTGCTGCCCCAGTTGATTCCAACTCTACTTCCGTTTCGTCATCCAGTCGATGCCCCACCCGGAATCGCATGTTGCTTCATTCAGGAGGGGGAGGCCAGCAAGTTCTTGTGTGCCCCCTGGACCAAGATTCAGCTCACAACTCGCTGGTATATCATTGATATTTCGGTTGTAAAAGAAAGATATGTAGTTAGTTTAAAGATAAATAAGCTTTCAGTTTGAAAAAAGGTCAAATCAAACTATAACAGTAGTATTGTGTTGAATAGAATACCCTCTAACAACAGCATATGTACAGTATACTCCCTAGCAACCTTTAGCAACGCTTTATGTTGAAGTAAGTAATAGGTGGTAAATGCGATGTTCAATGCGATGTTTAAATTTAAAACCCAAGTACATATTTTTTACGACCGTTTTGTAAACTAATCGTTTCAGTTCAGTTCTTAGAATTAACAAGTTTCACATAACAGCATGCCCGTTTACTTACATAACAGCATAGTTTTATTTAACACACGGGTAATGGACCAATGAGGTTCAAGGATTAGAGAAAATAAGTTAAATTCCAATGATTCGAACTTGAACTAATGACTAATGTTCTACGAGTGTCGTTAACACTATTTACGCGATTTGCTTCCACTGCTTTACCTACGACAGTGTATAAATTACTAAAATCACTGCTCATAACTTTTAAGAGAGGTTATGTTTTCGTTTATAACCTCTCATTGCCACTGACAGTGATGCAACGAAACTGAACCAAACACTAATTGCATCACTCAAAAATTAAATTGGTCTGACCAGCTGATTAGTTGAAGTTCGATTCATTACAATTTTACTTCTTCTCTCTCAATCCTTGAATCTCGTTGGTCCGTTACCCGTGTTGTTATGAGAAGAACTATGCTGTTATGATAGTAAACAATGCTGTTATGAGAAACTTTTCAATTCTAAAAACTGAACTGAAACGGCAACATTAAAAAAAAGGTCGTAGGTACACTATTATTATCTATTATACTCGTATATCATATTTAGACAGAAAACCCCCAGATCAGTTGTTAAATTCTCAGTTTTGAATTACTATATTTTATAGTCACGCTACTTAGGACCAAGTAAAATTATGGATGTAACAATATATACCATTTATGGGTTACAAACATGAACCGATTATAGCACTTCGTAATAGCACGTATAAACATGAATGAAAATTACTAAACAGAATAATTGTAATCTTTCACAATAATTTAAAAAACTGTTGCCGTTAGAAAATAACAAGTTATGGATTTTTTCACTTACAGAATATTTGGACGAACATTGTTCATACCTATGAAAACCAAACTGAAAAGGACATTCAAACAAAAATAAAGATTAAAAAAACATAACTTTGGCTGTCTTATAAAAATATACTGTAATTTAAACTTAAAATTTTTAATTTTTTTCCGCAATTCTTGATTTAGCTGAGGTTAATATTGCAGATCCCACGGTGGATGTAATATTCTGTTAGAGCCTAACTTGATAAGGCTTACATTTCAAAGACGTCTTCTTGATCAAATCCAAAACTGATTCCTAATTAAGTTTGACGAACTTTGGAACTGGAAAGATAACTTGGTAATCCAACCTCAAACAAGTTTGATGTTCTCCAGTTGCCTCTTTGTATTTGCCACTATTAAGTCCATGAAGTTTGTTTTGAACATGAAAAATTGCTATTATTCACTACTATTTGAACATTATTCTTAAAACTATTTCAATAATGAGATTTAAATAGCACTTTTCTTTACAACGAAACTAATATAAACACATAAACGTAATGATACAATATAAAAGTATAATGTTGTAACCAGTAATGGGGTGGCATCGGGTATTTCATACCTGAAGAGTTTTTACCTGAAGAAATATAATTTAAATAAAGAAAAGTTCATTTAAAAGAAAACATTTCCGATTCTACCCTCGTTGTTATCAAACGTCAACGTTTAAAATGCGTCATTAGTCGATAGCTTAGAGGCAAATTTCCATTGGTTAAATAATCGATCACGCTCAATCAGATTAATCAATAAAATTCAGGCAACCTTAAGATTTGAAGGCGAGCTTTTAAACAAGATCCGTAAATTTCAACTAATTGACACTAGTATTAATATGTTTCAACGTTTAAGAGTTGTAAATACAAATCTAAGGTTCTTTAACATAACATAATGTCCCATTACATTTAAAATCACGTTATATTTCAATATAATAATGATATACGGCCTTTACAGTCTCATTAAGACGATACTGTACAGTTTCTTCCTGTCAAAATACTATTTTTAAAATGTTCATCTACTGTTGACTTAGTATAAATAACATTGTCATCCTTGTACGCACTTTTACAGTAAACAAATGTTAACCAAAGCATTGTGACCTACCTAATGTTGTATAATGTTTGTTGTCCCTCCCACTGCTAGGTCGAGGTGTTTTCCGCGGGCTGGATGACTGATAGTTCCCCACGTAAATCACCAGGATTTATCCCCGATACTCCACAGACTCGTAGTGTTCTCGTGGAGTTCCTCCCCAAAGAACCGGGAAAATACACTGTTACGTGGATGGAGATTTCAAGAAGGTATATTATTATTATTTTTTATTTTGATATGTTTGTTCACTAAAGTTATGCAAAAGTTCAAATTAGTTTGGGTACGTAAATGGCCGTTAATTGGCTGATAGTACCATAGCTTAGTACTACATGTTTTGTGATTTCCGAGTCTTTCCTCAAATTTAGTTACATAATGTAAAAATACTATTCTTTTATTTTACAAATATTGCCACAATACTTTTACGTATTTTATATACCAAGAAGAGTTACAACTAGGTTTAACCAATTGTTGCTCCGATGTAGTTTGACAAAGTATTATAGTTATGTGTTGAGGTTTATGTTACTTTTCTAGACCTAACTACCCAACCGCAGACATGGCATTGTCCGACTGCCCACATCGTTGTCCAGAGCTAGATGCCTGTATCAATGCTTCCTTGTGGTGTGATGGTACCTCCCACTGCCCCAGCGGTTATGACGAGGCGTTCACCCATTGCCTCTACCTGCTTCAACTACCACTTCACCAAATGGCCCTGTGGATACTGGGCTTCCTAATACTTGTGGTAATAACATGTGAAATCATTTTAGCTATTTAACACCATATAGTTGATAAAAACAGCATCTCTTAAAATCTAAGTACAAATTGAAAATTATGACAGTTTAAACATGTACCTAATATGGAAATTTACATTGACCTATTATATTATAACTCAATCACAAGTTTCCAAAATCAGTTTTTAAAAGTTGCACAATCTATTTTAGTGGAAATGAAGACACATAACGTGTAACCATTTCTTAACCAATACTTTTGCCAGCATCCTTCCAAATGAATTGATAGTTTCAAAACTATATTGCCAAATCAAAAAATTTATATTCGTTAACTCAATTTTAAAACAGGTTAAAACGTGTTATCTTCAATTTCATTCAATAGTTAGTTGAGTTTGATTACTAAACTGTCTATTTAAAAGTCTTTTTTTTAAGTTTGTTATAATAATGAGCGTAAAATAACCTTTTTAATCAATAAACCTATAGTTTCTACATTTAGCCATATTCCTCTAAGTGGATAAATAAACTAAACCAAAAACGTCCATTAAAATCTTAGTTGTTGTTATTCAACAGGACTGATAGTGAAAGTTGGCAGGTTTTATATTTGTGTAATTGTTGAAGGCATCAGTTTGCTGTGTCTTCTGCCACGTCTGCCGAGCTGAGGCAGGCTCTAGACTCAAGAGTCTCCCCTCCGATACTGACCCAATTGTCGGCACTCCCAAGGAGGTGATTTGCTGACAATCAGACAATTCTGTGCGCTACGTTGAGGTAAGTGTTGATAAACATATTTTATTGATTTAATCAAACTTTACATTATTCACTGTTGAATATTCGAGTTTAGTTTGTTTTCGCCATCAGCATAACCTTTTATTGTGAGTGAACTACCCTGACCCTGGTCTTGTTACTATCTGTTATATCCAAACTCAACAAAATTCAAACATTTGAACAATGTAATAAGCAGAAACACAGAGGGATTATAACATCATACAACTGAAAAGCAGTAGTAGGATAACAACACAATACTAAATCGACTAGCTAATATTACAAGAAAGAAAAGATAATAATTACCTGGCATTGAATTTAATATACCGTATAATACCTGATATACTGTCTTGTGTGTTTGAGGAATATCCCTCTTCTTTAATGTTTTTGAAGGATCAGGTCCGGTGATTTTTTCATTGTGTAAATTATGTTGGCGAATTGTGGTTATCTCTCATGATTTACACCAATTGAGTTTAATGCTGTAAACGATCTAATCTATTAGACATAAATATTTTGTGCGAATTTCAGGTTGACCGTGTGACCACCGTGTGATAGGCTGAGGTTTACTTGTGCCTCTATCACCCGGAGTATCGGTCGTCTTGACGTCCCCACCTCCACCATGGGACCACCAGCCTACAGATCTCCATCCTATTAATACTAAGTTTTAAGTTCAACAGTCGTATACAATGTAAAGGCCACAGTATTTCTTTTCGAATCAATGTTGTAACACAATTTACAGCAAATTTATTGAATAGTATTCTTAAAAATTTCAAGTCTTTAACGAAAATAAATTTAATAGACACTTATAATAACATACAAACTTGTAAAGCTAGCAAGAAACAAAAAAGAACACACTTATAAATACCACTTAGTTTGTCAGATTCGAAGACAATTTTCACATTAATATTTAAGACAAAAAAATAATACAGTGACTGAATGTCATGTTTTTTATTGGTTTTCCTTTTATTATAAATGAAACAACGATCTGGTGTTCAACAATTAAAAAAATATAAATAATGATACAATATAAAGCTGCAGTTAAAATTTGATTTTCATAATGCCCATCCATTTTCATATAAGAACTTTAGTTGTCATCTACTATTCTATATATTTAAAAAAATACTTTCTTTTAAACATTTTTTTTAAATCCTGTTTTTACCAGTATGAATTCTCAACAGAAATCTAAGAGATTCATTTCTATTAAGTGGCTCATTAATGTGCATAAATGTTTCATTAGTTTATTTCGTCCCAAATTTTGTAATATTTGATTTACGACCAATTGTTATAAAAGAGTCAATTCATTACTGTATTAGGGTTATTCTATTACACTAGTTAATGTCATCGCACAAAAACACTGAAATGGGACCTTAATAATCGCACGAACGTAAATATTACATGAGATATAACATGTTTACTGTTAGTTATTTTTACATCGATTAGTAGTTTTTTTTTATATTTTAAAAAAGGATGTGAGAAATAGCAGAGTGGGAGTGGCTAGCGCGCAGAATACACACTGTATCTACACTGGACTGTCTGTAAAAACTAATACATTGCTGTTAAAGTCTTAAAAAAGTTATTCGAATTTTAAAACTAGAACATAGGAATACAACATGGTGTATGTAAGAGGGTAATATTTTTCTAGGAATTAGAAAGATCTATGAATAATAAAACTATTTTAAATGTAAAGCTCTATCTGAAATTATGTTTTCATAGTTTAATTTAACCGTCTTAAAATAAATGCATTAATTAACATAACAGGTGTTGATGATTATTATTGCATATAATCTCTACTTGAATTAAACTTAATATATACATAACAAAACTTATTTTAAAATTATTTTACTATGAATTGATATTATAAGTGAGTGTTATTTATGATACTTATTTAATATTCCAAAGTCACCTTTTAGGTTTATTATTAAAAAAATATATTTAAAATCAAATGTTTAATTGTTTTGAATACTCACACGTTTGCCTGTGTGAACGTGTTACGCATTTTCGTACCCGAAAATATATTTTACTTATAAAATGCAAAGAGACTATGCTGTTCTTGAGCCAATAAAGAAAAGGCTATATACATGTTTTTTTTTTTTTTTTTATGTAAATACTGCCAGAGTTTACCAACGTTTTCAAATAGATCAATTTATATGTTTCCTTGAGGTATCAAATACTAATAAAGTGTTCTTGAACTGTAACTAGCTAAGGTGAACGTTAGTTGTTGTATAATGAGAGTTTTATAGTCACTTAGTGCTTCCACTAAGCTTATAAAGCAATAGTGAATACTCTTTGGGTAAAATCAATAGTTTAATTCATATCTTAAAGAACTTAATTTATTAACAGGATATTTTTAGAACTGACTGCGTACAGCTTATAAAATAAACATTTGAAACGTTTAAAGTTTATTAGATAACCACCATAGTATTTTTTTTAAGAATCTTCTCGTCATTATTAAATATTACTCATTTAACCATCCCCCTGTTGTACATCATGGATTAGAAAAATATGAATCGACGTTTTATATATACTATAAAAGATAATTTGTAACGTAGTACACTAGTTTAGCTGTTGATTATTAGATACGAAAGGTTTAACCAAATAGGAGTGCTAATTTTATTGATTTTTATAGTAGTATAATGCTTATAAGTATTCAATTATTTCTTTCAGCCAATGAAATCCTCATACTTACAGTATAATCCATTTTAAATGGTTTGAAATATGTTTAATGAGTTCCAAATTTAATATATCCATTAACATTTCGATACATTGAATTTAAAATGCCAAAACATGTCTTAGTAATCATAGGTTACACACAAGCGTCTTTTATTTTACAATAATTTATTATTGCATTTCTAGTTAATTTCGTTTATGTGTATAGAGAATCTAATTTACTATTGTTAGTAATATTTTTGGTGTTTAAGTATATAATACAATGCATGGCAAAGCCCTGGAGTTTTTGAAAGGCGTTTCACAACTTCAGTTGAAAACTACTACATGAGAAATTCTGTAATGGCTATTATGAGTCTTTCCTATTATGCAAAGTTTAAAACGATAATAATTTATATACACTTAGTGTTAAAAGTAACTGTTTCAATAATAAAAGTTGTCCTACAATGATACATTTCGTATTGGAAAGTACAAACGATAACAACGAAGAATGCAAACAAGGGTTGATGACACATTTTAACTAAAAGAAATATATTTTCCTTAATCTTTGATTGTGGACTGCACCTAGTCCAATTAAATATTTGTAAATAAATTAAATTCAATAATAAGCTAACCGCAATTTAACAACTCGTGAAAGCCACAGAAAAACTTTTTAAATTACAACTTTAGTTATGAAAATTTCAGGGCGTAGTCTTTCATTTTTCGTGATAACTTATTAGGTACAACTGCAGAGAGTAGTGCCTATCTTAACAATCATAGAGTATATTTTATATTAATTGTGGTAGTGATATTACAAATAGTTCATACAAGTCATGTAAATAATTGTTCTTATACAGCATTTACAACCAACTATTAATGTTAGGTGATTTATAAACAATTTTGTGCTGTAAATTCGCTTTTGATCACATATAAACTTGTCCTATTGATAATAAAGGTTTAAGGTTTTATGTTTTAGGTAATTCAAAATAACAAAATATTTTCCAATCTAATTTACTCATTGTTTAATCACATTACCTATTACAAACAACAAGCCAAGCCTCTTAATCTAATATAACTTATCTTAAATCAAACAACAAACTGATTCTTCTGTGGATTTATTTATGAGTTGGATAACATTGTCTATTCCACAAAGCACTTTTAAATATCTTCATATATTTATAAATCTGTTTTAAACCTAATTTTGTCTTTTAACACCTATTTAATATGTTTTCTTAAAAGCAAATACTGTAAATCTGTAAAGATTTACTGTTGAATGGTGCTGTAAAAGTAATTTGAAATCTGCATATAAAAGTATACAGCAAGATTCTGCAATTTAATTGGTTCATTACTGACATATGGATATTTAACTAGTTTTAACATTTCTTATCATCATCTGAAGTCGTTCTGATGAGTTCTTAACTCAATTGCAAGGTATTAGAATATACAGTTCCATCTTGTATACCAAAGACAATAAACGTTTACATTGGTTCCAGCCTCTTTATAGCTAAATGTAAATAGCATATCATCATTGAGTCATTATGTATATTATATACTCGAATTTTAATCTAGAACGTTGATTATTAGATAATATCAATATATACTGTTTTATCAATAGAATAAATGTATTAGGTTGTTTTATATCGTTAACACGGTACTCTATTTGATATGAGGTACTATTAAAGTTATATGAAGTTTTAGCCTTTCGATAGAGAAATAATAATAAAGTTAAGTTTTTTATATCTACTTTGTTTTCCTTTACCATTAGTGTAATTTCTTAATGTGGTATGCTGGTTGGTAAGGTAACAGTTTGCAATCATCAGTTTGCACGCCATCGAATGACTCACGTTTACTCGTCGTGAAATATCAATATAGTTTTACATACTGAGCAGACTGAGTCAATAACAAAAATGATATAATATTCATAAAAACTATGTTGCAATTAGAAAACTGGTATCCAATAAAATCAAGTTTTGCTTTTCTCTTAGGTTTAATTAGGTATATGACAGTGATAACTGTCATAGTCTACTGAAAAAGACTCCAAGGAAGGCCCAAGAATCGATGGAAGGACCAAGTGGAGAAAGATTTGAGAAAAATGAGAGCAAGGAAGGAAATAAGATTCAGAGAACAGGTAGAGATGGAGGCAACTTATTGGCGAGGCCAAATACCACCTAGGGTATCCATGCCATGGGAGTATTATTAATTGTTGGGAAATGCAAGCTTAAGCTTATGTAGAAACATTGAACGGATACCTCTAAAGCTTTAGGCGTTCTGTATGGTTGAACCATTTTACATAATATTTAAAGACAAAATGTTGTTAGAATCATATGAAACGGACTGTAATGCCATTATTGCTTTAAAACTGACGTAGTTATTTAATGGATATAATTATATTGTAAAAGAGGTTTTAAAAAGTTAAAGTATCAGAGGGCATAAAAAAGAAAAAAACTCGTAAATTAGGTTGAATTTAAAATTAAATCATGTTTAACCCTCTTACGAACCCATTCTAAAATTTATCTAATTTACTTTCAAGACCATAAATTTGACACCACTGTGGTACGGTGAAAACTCAAAACAATGTAAAAAAACACCTTCCACAACTACCGGCATTTACCTCAGCCGTAAGTACAGAGTAAAAGTACGTGCAGTAAAAGTGACCAAACATGTGTTGTATTGAGGTTTTTTTTTCCCCCTCTAAACTGTTTATTATTTGGTGTAGTGGTGCATTGCTAACTGAGTACATCTCGTAATCTTATGCGGTCAACTTTTATGTCATAGCTTTGTTCAGCTATGTATCTGTACTTTAAGATATTTTTTTCCCTAGGACACTAGGCACAAGCCCGGAATTGTTTTTCCGAAAACGTCAGGCTAGACCTAGGGGATAAAATTCATTGGTGATTTTGTGGTATTTGAACCCGGAACCTCACGGACCGAAGTCCCACGCTCTAACCACTACACCAGCTCGCCCCCCAAGTACTTTTTAAGATATTAAGGCATTGTGTTAATGCCTCAACGGCTGAGATAAATCGATCATTCAATCATATGATTGACCATGACAATCAATCAATATCTGTAAACGTTTTTCACGTAACAACCAAAATACCGTCATTAAACAGTCTTAGAATTGCGTTGTGATGCATTTTTTAGATTGATTGCAACGTGAACTTAGGGGGAATTTGCATACGAAA